CTTAGACCCTACGTACAATGGAGGAAGTATTATTATAGGAATAGAAATAAATATTAAAATTTCAAAACAAATAAAAATTTCAAAACAAATAAAAATTTGAAAACAAATTAAAATTTCAGAACAAATATTAAATTGTAAACGCCATTATTTTTATGTAAAGTATATACGGCGGCATTGGCGGAAAGAAGAGGGAGGAAGTGGAAGGGAAGGAACTAATTCCACCGAATCAAACGGGTTTTAGGAAGGGGTTGGGAACGATGGATAACATCTATGTTTTGAATTATTTAGTAAATAAACAGGGAAGGAAAAAGGGGAGGAAATTGATTGCATTGTTTGTGGATTTTAAAGCGGCGTTTGATTCGGTGGATAGGGGGATATTGGTGGTGGCGTTGAGGAGGAGGGGGGTAAGGGAAGGGCTGGTAGAAAGAGTGGGGGAAGTAATGATGGAAACAAAAAGTAGAGTTAAAGCGGGAGGGGGGTGGGAATTAGGGGAAAGCTTCTGGACAGCGAGAGGGGTAAGGCAGGGGTGTCCGCTGAGCCCTTTGTTATTCAACATTATGATAGCGGATTTAGAGGAAGAGATGGGTAAGGTTAAGTGGGGGGTGGTGAAGGTAGCAGGGGAGATAGTGTATGGATTGGCGTATGCGGATGATATAGTGCTGTTGGCGGAGGATGAAGGGAGTATGAGAAGTTTGTTAGAGAAGCTGGAGGGATATGTGGATAGGAAGGGGCTGGAGTTGAATATAGATAAGATAAAAAATAATGAGGTTTAGAAAGGGAGGGGGAAGGAATAATAAGGTGGACTGGAGATGGAAGGGGAAAAGGATAGAAGAGGTGAAAAAGTTTAGATATTTAGGGTATACCATGCAGAGGAATGGGGGGCAGGAGGAGCATGTAAAGGAGAGAGTGGCGAGGGCGATGGTGGTGATGGGACAGGTGTGGTGGATAGGGAAGAGGAGGTTTGAAAAGGATTGGAAAAGAAGGGTATGGTTATTTGATAAGCTGATTTGGGCGATGGTGAGCTATGGGGTGGAAATTTGGGGATGGAAAGAGAGAGAAGCAGTTGAGAGTTTACAGGAAAGATATTTAAGGTGGGTGTTAGGGGTAGAGAGGACGCCAGGATATTTGGTGAGGGAAGAATTACAAAGGGAATAGTTGAGGGCAAAGGCGGGAAAAAGGACATGGGCTTTCGAGGAGAGATTAAGGAGGGGGGTGGTAGTAGGTTGGCGAGACTGTGTTGGCAGGAAGCGATGGTAATTTAGGGAAGGGGGAAAAGTTAGAGGGATGGGAGAGGGAAAGAGAGCAATATTTTGTAGAAAGAGGAGTGGAGGTAGATAGAAGGATAAGGGGGGATGGGGAGGGTGAGGTTAATTTTGAGGAGATACAAGAAAGGGATAGGGAAATGCAGAGGGTGGAAAGATGGGAAAAGATTAGGGATTCGAGATATAATAGGTGGTATGGATGGATAAAGGGAGAGGGGCTGCCGAAATATTTAAGTAAGGGTTGGGGGGAAAGGAGATGGAAAAGGTAGCTAGGTTCAGATTAGGAAATGAGGTGAAGGAAGGGAGATATTGGGAGGAAGAGGAGGAAAGGAAGTGCAGGCTATGTGGGAGTGGGTGGGAAACATGGGAGCATATATGGGAGGGATGTAGGGCTTGGAAAATGGGGGAAGGAGGGAGCTGGCAGGAAGTGGTAGGGAGGATACTGGTGGAAGAACGGTAGGAAAGGAAGAGGGTGTGGGAGGAAGGGGGCGTAGGAGAGGGTTAGAAGGATGGAGGGGGTGGAATGGAAAGGGGTGAAGAGGGTGGAAGAGGGGGAGGGGGTGAGAGAGGGAGGGAGGAATGAATGAGAGAATGAGAGAGAGAATGAGTTTGGGTGAGAGGGGAGGAAGGCTCTGTGAGGAACAGGGTGGACGGGGAATATTTTTTAGAAGAAGGAATCCACGTTAATGAGTGGAAAGACGCTGGAAACGGAAGTCCCTAGCGGAGAGAGAGAAAGAAAGAATGGGCGGAGTAAATTAAGTTAGGTTTAATAGGTTAAGTTAGGCTATGTTAGTAAGTAAGTTTGTGTAAGTGCGATATATGTGTACGTAAAATTGTAAAATTGTAACCCTGAGAGGATCAATAAAGTTATCTATCTATCTATCTATTTATTAAATTGTAAACGCCATTATTTTTAAGTACGCAAATATTTGCGGGCATCTACATTCAATATTTTGGCATTTATCTTAATCATGGAAATTAAAACTCAAGTAACTCTTAAGTTTATATACTCAATTTTGAAGACACTCAAAGGGTTTTCGCTCATTTATTGCGTGTCATATCCAAGTGTTGCGGGTAACCTTTAGATGTTTAGTGTGTAAACTCAACCCTTACTGAAAAAACTCTGACAATTTTAGTGTTTATACTCAAATTTGAGTGTAAAGCCTAACTTTTGGGAGTTTACTCCGAAATTTGTGTGTTTACACTTAAATTTTGAGTGTTTACACTCAAACATTGAGTATATACACTCAAAGATTGAGCGTTCACAACGTTCATACTCAAGTTTGAGTTTACACTCTAAACATCGAAAGGTTACCCTCAACACTTGGATATGACACGCAATAAATGAGGGTAAACCCTAAACCTTTGAGTGTCTTCAAAATTGAGTATATAAACCTAACAGTTATTTGAGTTTTAATTTCCATGATTAAGATGAATGCCAAAATATTGAATGTAGATGCCCGCAAATATTTGAGTACTTAAAAATAATGGCGTTTACAATTTAAAATTTGTTCTGAAATTTTAATTTGTTTTAAATTTTTGTTTGCTTTTAGTTGTTTTGAAATTTTTATATTTATTTCTATTCCTATAATAATAATTCCTCCATTGTACGTCGGGTCTATGGGTGAATCACACGGTATGGAAAAGAAAATATTATATGTCACAAAAGCAACCAATCAGCTTTATTTTGCGTTATTCCGAATAGCGCTAATTGGTTGTTCCAATGGGCGCATTCAGCGGACTCAACAGTTGAGTGCGAGTGCCATGCTCGCTCTTATTAGTGTATTCTTTTAGTTCATCCTATCAGAATTTTAGATCTAGAAGAATATACCAATAACAGCGAGTGCTCACTCAACTGTTGAGTCCGCTGAATGACGCATTCTTTGTTTCGGAATCATTTTCCGCACCGTGTGATTTCACCCTGACACTAAAGTTAACTGTCAAGTTGAGATTAACACTCAACATTCAAGTCATCAATAACACTCAAATATGATATAAATGGCTTATTCCACGTGCGCCAGATAACATTAGCGATTATCGATTATTTAAAATGAATTATATATAGTTAGATATCATAAACGTTTCGATCTGTTCATCAGATCATTATCAATATTAATAAAATTTAAATATAATCACACAGCATAGCGTCATTAAGGGGCTATACCAGTGTGAAACTTTCAAAAAATCGAAATCTTATTTTTTGTCTTGTTCGACTTATACTTTAAGAATTTCCTGTGAAATTTTCAAGGCCGTATCTCTAATTTTTTTCGAATGGCAGCCTTCTAAAGAGCAACCGCTCGCAGGTATAAACTGCTCCATCTACCTAGGGGGGAGCGTCGGAGCTGTTGTGCCGTTACCCGAATCTTTCGTATTGTAAACAGTACATATATGTGCTTACCTATAGGTAAGAAGGGAGGCTAGAAATATGTATACAGGGTCTTAAAATACAATGTTGCCATTTAATAATTTTATCTTGCAAAAATCGTTAGTTTAATCTTTAAACGCGTTTTTCTCGAAATGACATTTTTCAAATTTGCTGCCATCGTAACTCAAAGAGCAATTATCCGATTAACTTCAAATTTGAACTGAGTACTCTTGAATATATTTACTCTACAATGACTTAGGATTTTTTTGATTGGATGAAAATTAACGATTTGGTATTAAAAAAAACGACCATACTTTTGACCAAAAAAAACTTTTTTTTTGATAATTACGCCATTTTGTTAAATTTTGATATTTTTCAAAAATTCTACGTCATTGTATAGGAAATACCTTCTAGTTTAACGACTTTTTTTTTTCAGCTACTCATTCGGCCGGAATCGTAGCAGCAGTGGAGGAACTTTTTTTTTGGAAGACAGCGCATAAGTCGCTTATTTTTCAATATTTTTTGATAAAAAAATTATGGAATACAGTTTAAATATAGCTTAATATGCTCTAATATTTTAAAAATATTTTATGAAGTATTTTCCTTTTAAAAAATTCCCGAAAATTACCAAAATTTTCAGCGTTCACACTGGTATAGCCCCTTAACTAATATTACGCAATTTCATACAAATTTGTCATTATAAATTATACGATCCATAAATTTTCACATTTCTTCGGACTCATACCACATATTTGTTGTCGTGTCATATTCTTAGTTACACAAACTCCATTACTTCTATTATCTTTCTCAGATGGATCATCATACTTCGCCTCGAATTGTGTCTCTCGAATGTAAAACTTAACTTTCATCAGTCCAACAATCCACGTAATAAAATTAACAATTGAACAAATAATTTCCTGGTTCTAGTGATCAAACAGAAAAAAATTTTTACTAAAAAATTTTTACATTATAAGAATTATTAATTCATTCTCACCCCTTAGTTACCATTGTACAATTGTTTCCCAACACAAAAGATTTAACAATTCCGAGAATTTAAACAGAAACCATATTCCGACAAAATCCTAATGATCCACCGAAAACATACCGTCTCAATAACAACATATGTACTAAGTATTATCGTAAATATACCTCTTATATATTACTTCATTATATTATTAGTGGAAATGGTACCTATTATTATTGGTTGGAATTCTTAACAGCGGTATATATGATTCTGGGAATTTTTCCTTGTCAGTATGCTTATTTAAGCCATTCTTTTGTCTCTTTATATAAATCATTTCAGCTGTCAATCTTTTATAAAAATAAGGTTCATTAATTAAAATTTGAATGTCATCCCAATTTATTTTATGTTCTAATTTAATCTGATGTTCTGCTACTACAGACAACGATTCTTTTTGTTTTTTTAAATCTGCTTTGTGTTCTTTAATTCTTGTGCCTAGCTTTCTTTTTGTTTGGCCTACATATGATGCACCACAGTTCTGACAATTTACTTTATATACTACCTCAGATCTCTCCATTTTCTCCAAACTATCCTTTCCCAATTTAATCACAAAATTTAGATTGTTCATAGGTTTGTATACAATTTTATGTTCCATTTTATTTGACATATATATTTGAATTTTTCTGAAATGTTTTTGCACATAAGGAATTAAAAAATATTTTTTATTATTATTATTATCAACATTATTATTATTAATATCAAATTTATCATTATCATATAGGTTTTTTCTTTTCGATAATTTTTTTTATTCTGCAATTTATAGTAGAAAAGATAGTTTCTAAAGGATAGCCATTCTTCAATAAAATATTTATCAGATCTGTAATGTTTTTTTCGTGATACTCTGGATACGATAAAAAGATGATTTTGTGAAAGAGACTAATTATTACCCCTCTCTTATGCTCCTCAGGATGGCATGATTTATAATTTAAATATCGACCCGAATTGATCAATTTCTTATAGTTATTGAACCTTATTTGTTTGTCCTTCAGTATACACATCTAAAAAATTCACACAACCATCATCATTTTCTTCAACCGTAAATATAATTCTGTCTTGATGCGAATTGAATAAACCCAACACATTATTTATCTGAACATCAGGAAGAGCGACTAATATATCATCAACATAACGATAATATAACGGAACCTTAAATTCTAAACGGTCCATTACATACAATTCCAAATCTTGGATTACTAAGTCCGCTAAGATCGGTGACAAGGTGGAGCCCATTGGCATGCCAAATATCTGTTTAAAAAATTGATCATCGAATTTGAAGTATGTCGAATTTAAGATAAACGTAATGGCTCCTAAGAATTCATTAATTGGAATTATTGTATTCTTTGAAATATCAACCCATCTCTTTTTGATACTCTTTAATACTAATTCTTGTGAAATATTCGTATACATCGAAACTATATCAAAAGACACGATTTTATAGTCCGAGTTTAATCTCATTCCATCTAATTTATTAACTAATTCAAAACTGTTTTTGATATAACCGATACTTTTATTAACACTTTTATCAATAATTTGTTTTAGATAAGATAAAAACTTATAAAGTGGATTATTAATACAACTCACTATAATTCTTAACGGATTCCCTTCTTTATGAACCTTCGGCATACCATATGATCTTGCCACCGTTCCATCAGTGACATTCAGATTTTTGTAAGTTGATAGATTGATGAATTCGCTCTCTTTCCATCTACTTAATAACTGATGCGTTTGTCTAGTTAACATCTTCGTCGGATCTTTATTAACCTTAATATACTTGTTATCATCAGATAATAAAACGTGCATTTTCCTTTTGTATTCTGTCAAATTCATTACTACAGTCATATTCCCCTTATCAGCTTTTGTAATTAATATATCTTTATGCTTGTCCACAAATTGCTTAACTTCTTTCATTCCGTTTTTTATTAGATCCATGTCACATTTATTACGTACTACAATATTATGTGACATTTTGTTAAGAATTTCAATGCTATAATTCCTAATAGTATTACGAACACAGTTATCCAGACCAAAGATATTATGTTCTATATTTGATAAATTCTGTGATCATTCTGTCATTATCTGTTTTACTGTACGGAAGATTAAATTATTGCCCAAGTTGCAATACTATCTTAACACTATTAGGAATCTCCACATTACTTAAATTGATTAACCAATTTTCATTGATATTGTCCAATGAAAATTTCTCATTAAAATTGATAGGATTAATGTTAACTTGATGTAGAAAAAGATTATTACTTTTCTCTATTATTTGTGAGGATATCTTTTCTATTTTCGCCGGAATGAAATCTGTATTAGCATTAGCGGCTTCTGACCGTAAATCAAACTTAATAGGATCTATACTACTCTTTTTTTAATATTCTGAACCTACTCTTAAATTTTTTAATTTATTGTTTATTCTCTTATTTTCTTGCCACTATATTTTGTTCATAATAAATTCTTGTCTACTAAAAAAAGAGGAAGATACATGTTCAGGCAAAGAGTGCCATATTAATCTTTGATGTCTAAATAGATTATTTTTTAAATGGAACAAACACTTATAAGCATCCTGCAATTCAACCTTCGAGATATTGCTCGACAGCACGGATTATCGTATTCGACCGTACAACGAATTTTGAAAGAAGAAAAATTGCACGCCTACCATTACACTAGCATGCAACATCTACGAGAAGAAGACTATCCTCGGAGGAAAATGTTTTGCGAGGATTTCCTCAGAAGAGCTGACGAAGATCCAGAATTTCCTTTTCATGTAATATTTAGCGATGAATCGCTGTTTACACGAGAAGGACTTCTGAACTCGCATAATATGCACGTATTGGACGACGAGAATCCGCGAGTGACGCGGCCCAAAAATTTTCAAATTCGTTGGAAATTGAACGTCTGGGCCGGGATTATGGGAACAAAAATATTGGGCTCAGTAATCCTCCCAGAAAGGCTAAATGGCGCATCATATGTGCAATTTCTAACAGAAAATCTACCTGATTTTCTGAAAGACGTGCCACTCTTGGATCACAATAAAATAATATTTCAACAAGACGGCGCTGGTCCTCACAACTGCAAGAAAAAAATTGTATAGGCAGCTTCCCGAGGACGTGGAAGAACTGAATAACAAGCTTCACGATGCTATTTGGTCCATCGACATCGACGTAATGAAAGAATGCAGGCAAATTTATTGAGACGGATGAGAGCTTGCATCACAATGGACGGTGGACACTTCGAGCATTTATTATGAAAAAGAAGATCGAGATGTCCGAAAATTGCAATTAATAATTAATCTGCCTTTTTCAGGGCAACCAAATATTTCATTTCGAGGAATATTGTTTTAGTTCGCAAATAATTAAATTTAAAAATATAAAATTTAATTTTTGTATTAATATTAAATTTAATTTCAAAATTGAATAATTCTAGATTATTCAATATTAGTAAACATTGCCAAAAGTAATTATGATAATTGACACGATTGACAATCTGATATTGGCTACAAGTAGACATTATTGGTTTATTCGACATTACGAATGTGTGCTTCGAGATTATTTGCGCGCTGAATCGCAAGATTTGTTCTAACGGGCTCGTTAAAATGAATAGGAGTTATGGTAAAAGCATGCTGGTGCACGTTGGAGCATGCTGGAACATGCTGCGATGCGAACGAACATTATGATTCAGCGCGTCAATAATCTCGATGCACATATTCGTAATGTCAAATGAACCAATAATGCCTGCTTTTGTAGCATGCTATAACCAATGTAGCCTCTAGTCGCAGCCTGACTTATCAACAATTACAAGCGGCCGATAAATCAGATTTCTATTACTCTTAATTCTGTCCGTAAAACCTAACCTGCTTGATTCTTGTTGTCGAGCTCGTCGAGCTCGTCGAGCTCAGGCTTCGCGTCGTATCACGTCGGGTCGTGTCATTCGCTCGTGAGCATCCATCCTGTGTGGACACCTGGCGCCTGCGCTCTTCTGGTTGTCTCTCATGTATCCTCGGCCTTGACCCGATTCCTGGTGCGGTTTGTTTGCCTCTTTGAGGCTCCTTTTATCCATTTGCGCGTAAGTAAGCTCTTTATTGCCTGCTTTTAACGCTTTGGTCCTGCTATGCAGGACGGTGTTCCCGCCTCGCCGTATCCCGGCGGTGGCTCGGCATCCATTAGTAAACGTCTGTCTGCCTCTCTTCAAGAGTTTGATAAATTTTTCGAGCGTGTTAGCGATGATCGTGACGATGAGGGAATTAGTCAGACTCATCCACCGCGAGATTTGCTTTCCTCTGCTGCGAAATTTCTAAAGCCCAAAAAAACTATAAAATCTAAGGCTTCCTCATCTCAGACGA